AGAACTGAAAAATGCAGTATTTGAAAGTGGCGCCCGAATTGCAGCATGGCGCCAGTTGTCCAAAATCCTACGGTACCAAAGGAGGGGTTTGGAAAAAGGGWGCCAGGCCGAAAACGGGATGCAGCTGAAACAGCAAAAGATAGACCAGGGATCGAGCCCTGGCGGAGTCCGTAACACTTTTCCCTTCCGAGATCCTATGATACCTCGTGCTACCAACGGTGGCCACGAAATAGACAGAACTGTTTCCCATGAAGGAAGAGGGAGGAACAGACAGTATAAGGTTCACTTCCTCTATCACCCGTTGGACGAGTTCAACTCGATCGACCGAAAAGAGCTGCCAAAGAATGCTCCCCGTGTTGTTAACACTTATGAGCGACAGATCGCTGATGCACAGACTGCTAAGTTGTCTGCAAAACGCACTCCTCACGGTTATACCAAAACTCTCTTTCTGACCTACGCCTACGACGCATTTTGTGCCGACTCTGAATGAGTTACTCGCTCGAAGGGACCTCGCTCTTGAGAGGGGGGTAGTGTAATGACCCGCCAAAATACAGACTGAGAACACTGCTGATTTCTGGCATTTGCCGCTGGAATGTATGCCTTGCTGAGATTCCCGCATTCTGCTGTGATTTTTAAGTTTGTGTGTGTGTGTGTGCCTGCTGGTCTGCGTGCCTGTACGAGTGCTTGTCGGCTGAGTGTGTGTGTGACCCGCAAGGGTACTTGTGGTTGAAAGGCCCCGCAGGGCCGGTAATTACCTGTGGACTAGGGTTGCAGCGGGAAAAACACTCAAGTAGCAGGTAGGCCGGTACCACTCAAGTAGTGGTAGAAGTGTCGGGTACTGGAGGTCGAGCAGAAGAAGACAAAAGTTGGCATTTTTAGAGGCCCAGTAGCGGTAGGTTAGAGGTAGGCCGGTACCAGTCCAAGTGGCCCGAGTCTAGGGCCTGTCCGGACGATATCAGAGCCTGCAATGATGTTTCCCTCCAAAAGGGAGGAGGTACCGGTTGCTGGGAGGCCGCTCAGCCGTAAGTTACCGCCCAAGAGGCCAGTAGACCGCTATATATTCCGGAGGAGCAAGCAGCTCCTCCTCATTTGCGGTATGCAAGGATTGGTGACGTGCTGCTGGAGCCAAGCGCTGGACTTGCCTGGAGGAGAAGAGCAGCTGGGTGCTCAGCCTGGCTATGGCGAGCAGCCCAGCCTGAGGAGGAGGAAGAAGGGGGCGAAGGAGGAGAGTGGCGAGGTACCTACCTGGCTATGGTGGACACCATCTTCATCACCTTGTTGGGACGCTGCATCTGGAAGGCCCAGTGGGAGTAATGCCACACCAAGGAAGCTCGAAGCAGAGTCAGGCATGGCGGCTTAGTGAGCAGCGCCATAGCTGCTTTGCGTTGTCTTTTGGACAGGAGTGCAGCATCATAGCTGCTTTGGGTTGTCCTTTGGACAGGAGGGCAGGGCCCTTAGTAGTCCGCCATAGCCTAGGCATGTGAGAGGAGGAAGAAGGGGGGAAGCCATGGCTATGGTGGACCTGTTGTTGTGTCAGCAGTAAGAGGGAACTTCGGATATTGATTCTGGTTTATCCACTGATTTTTATTATTATTATTGGAAGAAGAATAAGATTGGCGAAGTGAAGGAACGGGAGGAAGGTGGAGAGAGAAGAGGGGGATCTGCCATTGGTCTTGCTGGTGTACATCTTCTTCTTCTTCTTCTTCTTCTTCTTTCTCTCTTCTTTGGTATCTATCCCTTTGCAAGTGCTTTCATTTCTTTCGCAATTGGGTGGCATTGTCTTTCATTGCGAATTTGCACTTTGGAAATGACCAGGATCATAACACAATGCACTTTTTTTGTGGGAAATTTAGGCATATTTTCTTTTTTTTTGGAAATTGTTCTCAGCCTTGCAAGATTTCTTCATCACCTACTCCTAAAATTAGACAGGCTTGGGGCCACCGGACCACAATGGCTGGAAGTGCCAGCCAAAAAAGGAAAAAAGTGTGCCACTGGCGGTTCAGTAAAGCTTAGCAACAGTGTGGCACTGGCAGGCCTGGGTGTACTGGTGGTTTTGAAGGCTCTTTGGCTGCCTCTTTTGTTGAGATGTCTGGATCTGTATTCAGACAACCTAGGGCTTGCCAGATGTCTGACCCCCGGACTTCGAAACATCCTTGGAGACATTTTGTGTTTAATTAACAACTGGGAAAGAAAGCACACATCGTAAAGGAAATACTAGACAGATACCCATTCAGGCCAAACAGACCTCTAGCTCCGCAATCTTCCGCTGTCTCTCTTCATCGAGCTTTTTCTTCTCCTCCAGTTCCTGCTGCTTCTGCAAAATCTCCCTTTCCTGTCTAGCCGTCTTGTCCACCAGACTCTCAGAAGATCCATCCTGTGTTCCATGAAGAAGCTTCTCCTCCATAGCTTTGAGCTTCTTTACCAGTGAATCCCGTTCTTGCTTCTCCTGAGAAAGTGCCTGTCACAGACACCGATGCCAGAGAACATGGAGGCTTCATTCCCTTCCCACCAAATCCAAATACCCACACAACTCATCCCCTCCCAGAACAAGCACATGCATCACAGAGAACGGCCACCATCCCATCTTCGTAAGACTTTCTCATGGTTTGTTTGAAATACCCTGACAGAGACAAATCCTAATCCCTCCAGGCAATTCATATGCCGAGGCCACACAGCTTTACGCACTGTACGAAGCATTATAGACTTGTACACACGAAAGCATTCAAGCCTGAGGATGAACACATCAGACTGAAACTTCAACCGATCCAATCCAGAATTTCCTAGTAGCGTGAGAGTCACCTGGGTCATACTTCCAGTGCATGTGAACTTTATTTTCACTTTAACCACTTCACAACCGTTGGCACCGCCTATCGTACGGCCGGTGCCCTAAGATGCAGATGAAACAGAATGTACCATCCCAGGACTCGGATAGACTTCCCTCGGGTGCCTCCCTTCTTTCTTTCTTTCTTCATCTCCTAACTACCCACATGGCCTTTCTCTACAAATGACCATAGAATGCTGGCCTGGTGACATCAGTGGGTTGTAAGGGACAATGGCATGCAGCATGAGATACCAACTATCACTTTCAGACCTGAGAGAGCTGTTCGGCAATCAACAGTATTGACCAGTCCGGTTGTCTCGCACATGACACATTTGCAAGCCACAAGTATGACTACAGGCAAGTATTTTAGCTTCCTGAATCAGGTGCGTACAGTGCTTGGTGAAGAGTTATGGGCTAAAGGGTAACTGGCATAGAATATAATCTGAAATGGGTAACTTTGTGTGATCACACATGATCTGGTTACCATAGAAAGGCGTCAAGGGGGGACAAGGGCAGGTAACATGCTCTCTTGTGCAGGGTTTCCCCAAGGAAGAAGGCAAAGTAAAGGGAAACTTGTGGTAGTGGCCTAAAATAAGACCCTTGTACCAAGGATGTACCCCGAGGCCCAGGATTTTTATTTGTCGTTCTTTTTCGAGGTCCAGGGTTTGAGCCTCGCCACAGTGGTCCATTTGCCTATAGATGAGGTGGAAATGTCTGTTTTTCCATTGGACGGGACAAAGAAGGATAACCTACTGCTGCCTCCGAAAACATTACCTGAGCACTTTTTCAAGATACCCTTGTACAAACAAGTCCCAAACCTATAGCCTGAGGCCCAGGGTTTTTAATTATTTTTTCCTTTTTGAGGTGCAGGAATTGAGCCTGGCACAGTAATACATTTATCCATCGTTGAGGTGGAAATGTCTGTTTTTGCATTGGACATTGGATGGAACAGAGGACAATAGCTTAGTTCCCTCTTCAAAAATGGAACATCATCTGAGCACTCCCAGCAAGTTTGGAAAGAATCCACTTTTCACAGTGAATAGAGAAAAGGAGGACACCTTGGTTCTAGCTTCAAATCGGCAACACCTGAGCATTCCTATGCAGTCAACAGGTGAAAAGGGGATTGGGCAGCAGAAGAACATACCTTCATGTCAAAACCTGCAGACAGGAAAGACACATTTCCATGCACATCCTGATCACCCCCATTAAACCACCAGTGCCTGGCCCAGCTATCGGCCGCGGGCCTTCCCATATACGCGCCGCAGCCTTAGGGGGGTCGGCCAAGGGAAGGCCCGGTCGCTGCTTGAAGGCCGGGCCCCGGTACTGTCGCAATGACACAAAAGGTAGAACGAAAACTGAAAAAAAAAAAAAAAAGAAATACAAAAACAAAGAAAACACAGAAAACAACGGGCAAAAAAAAAAAGACGGACGGGAGGGAGGGAGCGAGGGAGGGAGGGAGAGAGAGAGAGAGAGAGAGAGAGAGAGAGAGAGAGAGAGAGAGAGAGAGAGAGAGAGAGAGAGAGAGA